TACACGACTTCTAAAGACACTACAGTCTGGAGAAGTTGACACTAGTTGCCGAAAGTCAGAGTCAGTCTGCAGATTTGAGTTGACAGATTTCATAAAAAACTGTGTAGTGTATGATGGTTAAAGACTCTGATTTTTTAGCTTAGACTATGAATCCATCCAGTCGGTGGACATGTTCGATATTTTAAGAACTCACATTGTTTTTATATTGTTTAAAATCTGTTCAGATTTTAAAAGTCATGTAGTGTATTCTAGTTTTAGGAATATACAATTTTGATGGTCACAGAGCTTATTTCTGCAATAATCTATTAATCTAAAAACCACTACTGTTATCATTATTTAATATATATTCCTATAACACTATTTTTCTTACATTGTACCATAAGAGATGAGTGACAACATTTTCATCAATTAGTTTGCATCTAGCTTGACAGCACGTGTTGTGTTCACTCAAATTTGGGTTTGGAGATTATTTCTGTAAAGCCATCAGGACCTTATACAGAAATAATAATAGTGTTATTAAGTTAAAATTCGGAACCTCACCAAGATTCGATTTGTCACGTGGAGTAAGACAAGGCTGCCCTATATCTCCATATCTATTATTACTTGCCTTTCAGTTCTTAGCTCTGCATATTTCCACTAATAATTTACAAGGTATCACAATTGACGATAGACAAATTATTATTAGCCAGCTGGCTGACGATACTACTTTATTTCTGAATGACGCCTCCCAAATCCCTTTAGCTTTGAGTTTGATTGAGTCCTTTTCCAGAGCTTCAGGTCTCTGCCTGAATATCAACAAATGTGAGTTAATGTCAATCAAACGCTGTGATCTTCCCTCTATATGTAACACTCCTGTGAAAGATCAAGTTACATACTTAGGAATTTTAATTAATAAAGACCAAAAAACAAGATGTAATCTAAATTTGGACCCTCTAATAGTGAAAACCCAAAGAAAACTTAACTTGTGGCTGCAGTGAGATTTATCAATGAGAGGAAGAATTTTACTCTCTAAAGCCGAAGGATTGTCTCGACTGACTTATGCTGCTCTTTCCTTGGAGGTTGATAAAGGAACATTAAAAAGAATTGATAGCATGTTAAACAATTTTGTTATAATACTTTTAAAATTAATTGGCTTAAGAATTTCCTTAAAAGTCCCTCCTCACTTTGGAATTTTATCCCAAATTAGATTTTCTCTAAAGTTGGTGGCCTGAATTTCCTATTACTTTGCTATTATAATGTTTTAAAAATCCCTATCAAACTTTCTAATTTCCATAAGCAGATGCTCTTGGCCTGGTCCTTAATATACAAACACAACTTTTCTCCGCACAGATATTATTTATGGAACAATAAGGATATTCTTTACAAGAATAAATCACTTTTCTTTGACAACTGGTTCGAAAACAATCTTCTTTTCGTTTAGGACAGCTTTTTAATTCACAAGGCAGACTTTACAACTACTCTGATTTCTTACAGAAATATAATATTCCTGTATCTGCTGATGAATATGCTGTTGTTTTCAATGCCATTCCCTCTGGTGTGTCTTTTCTGTTGCAAGGTACTACACTTCCATGGCCATGTACTTACACTCTGAACTTAACCGACACAATGATCGGAAGTGTTTGCTTTTCTACAGATCAACAAAAAAATAACTATAAAATTAGAGCTATTTTTTTCAGAGAGAGAAAACAACAATTCCTTACATAATACCTTATTGGAATAGCATTGTGGAGAATATACCTTGGGAGAAAGTATGGACCTTGCCTCCTAGATATCTGCTTACCAATAAAGTAAAAGAAATAACATTTAAGTTGATTCACAAATGTTACCCAACTAAAGTCTTTCTTAGGAAATATAAGTCAGACATTGAAGTGAGTTGCTGTTTTTGTCATTCTTCTGAAGACTTCATTCATTTGTTTTGGCAATGCTCCTACACAGAACAATTTTGGTCAGACTTTTTAGTGTTTATTCAATCTTATTTTGTAAGTGACTTCTCTTTTTGTTTTAATGATGCTTTCTTTGGATTGTTTGACTATTCAAAAGAGAATACCGGAAAATATTATATAATTAAGTGTTGTGTTCACTCTAGTAACTCTGAACCAACTTCAGCATGTCTGAGAATAAAAGAGACTGCCTGCACCTCCTACTGCGAAGGAGCAGAACTGCAACAAAGTTAGATTTTTTTTTTTAACCTTTGTGCCAATTTTATTGATATGGATTAGAAGAGAGGACAGGAAATGATGAGGAGAAGCACGATCATGAGCAAGATTTGAACTTTAACTCTGAACAAGCTCTACAGCTCAACACGTTGAAGCTTGCCTGCTAACTAGCATGTCAAGACCCCATAAATTGTTTTGTTTTTTAATACAATGAGAGCATTTTTAGACACATAACTGGTGAACAGACTGCTCCAGTTAAGACCACATTGTAACATGTGAGTGATGAGTGTGCATATAGGAGGTATGTGTTACCTCACTGGTGAACATGGCACAGAAATAATCACTGCAGGCCGCCAACACGATGCGGTGGGCTGGGAAATCTGTGCCCTCCACCCTCAGAGTGATATCGCACAGCGTGTTGCTTTTTCTCAGGGCGTTCATGGCATTCAAGATGGATTTGGCATGTGAATTGGTCATGATGTCCTTGGGCGCCATGACGACAGGAGGTGGGGTGGAGTGACAAAACCTCAGGCACTGCAGGATTATGATTTCTGTAGGACACAATTAATCAGTGACCAGCACAGCTGATCCAGAGTACACACAAAATTCAAACCCATATGATATTCTTTCTTCAGTGGCACATAAAAGAGGATATTTTGTGTTTGAGTTTTAAGTTTTGGTTCCCTTAGACTTCCATTGTATTTTTTGTCCATGAATGAAAATCAATGGGAATGGAAACAGTTTGGTTACCAATATTCTCCAAACATATACTTTTATGTTCAACAGAAGAAAGAAGGTCATATGGGTTTTAAATGATATGAGGGCAAGTAAATGATAACAGAAATTTAATTTTCGGTTGGACTATTCCTTTAATATTAGACCATATTTGTCTATGTCTTTATCTGTATTGTAGCTTAAAAGCTGACCGCTGTACATTGCCATTTGTTGAGAATGTTACTTTTAAAAAGTATTAACCAAAAAGATCTTCCAAAGAAATCACAGGAAGAAATTCAACAAGACAAATGAAAAAACAATAAACAGTGAAATTATTAAATTATGGATTCTCAATGAAACAGCTCATTGCGCATCCTTTTGGAAATAACAACCTTTTCAGTGGCTTCTTAAAAAGAAAGGGACTTTTTTCTCAAATTTAATAACGCGATAATAATATAGACACATAAAAAAATAATGTTTTAGAATAGGTCTACCTGTAGGCTGTGATGGGCACTACACCTGTGTATTATACGAGAAACAGGAATAATTTCTTCGTATTTAATATTATTGTATTAGTATAACTTCACCTGAACGTGTTGTTGTAAATCAGGTGAGAGTTTAAGCCTCACAGAGGTGAGATGAGGCTACATGCTAAAGCTAACTGAAATGGTATGCTAACCCACACATAAACATCTCCATTTGAACTCACAGCGTACAGCGGATCCACAGCCGAACAGAACGGACCAGGACTGGATGACAGCACACGGCGGTCTATTTGGACATCTGCTGGCACCCCTCACAGGGAGACCCTCGCGGGTGTGAACTGAATTAATTTTACTCCAGCAACGAAAAGAACAGCGCTCACGTGTGCGCGCATCCCCAGCAAAACACTGCGACGTCACCAGCGCGCGCGCGCACTGTAAGGCCCGTGCTCGCGCGTTTGCTTAATGCCATCTCAAATCAGATTCTGACCTTCATTTTAACAACAAAAAACACTATTTTTTACGATAAATACATTATAATATATACTGTTTCAGAAAACAACGCTTAAGAACTGTGTGCTGAAAAGTGCGCTGTTTTAAGTAGTTAAAAAGTTGCTAAATAACTACAACTAAACTAGGACTATCACAAGGGTGTGAATTTAAGTGCTTGAAAAGTTGGTCTTTAGCAATTTATTAGCCCTTGAAGAGGTTGTAGTTGTAGTCTTTATTATTCTAGTGTTGTTATTGTTAAATAAAACTAAAACAATTAAATATCATTTTCAGTCATTGAAATAAAATATAAATATTAGAGGAAAATCTTAAACGTTACCTTGGCAACTAACTGAAATCAGTTAAAGTTGAAATACTAAAATATATACAAAATTACCTTTTTTTTGGAAATTCAAATAAATTATATAAACATAAACAAAACTAATAAAAAAGGACAAAAGCACATAACATTACTAAATTTTACATTAAAATTAAATTATAAAAATAAATTAAAACTAAAATATTAAAACTTTAATATAATTTTACTAATATATACACACACACACACACACACACACACACATACCAAAAAGTAAAAAAAAAAAAAATCACTATTAATGAAGCAAGCAATTCTAGCGGTTTCATCTTTATTTTGCTCTTTTTAAATATTTTGACTTCTAAAACCAGTGTAAGTATTTTGACTGAAACCCTGATTCACTCAAACAAAAGTTACAATTTTTCCCAACTTGAATCCCACTGCTGAAGCTATGGGTCAAGTATTTCAGATCAAAAGTTAATGAATGATCATGCAGACATGTTTGAGAAAACTGAGACCTAAGCATGTTCTATGTGTTTTCCCTACAACTCTTAAAATACAGGACCACTAACCAGTAGACCAGAAAACAGCCAGAAGAAAAAATCGCTGGAGGAGGTAGTCTCTTAAGACCTCTGTAATGCTTTATGACTCATTCCAGTGATTTACAATAAATTCTGTGCTGCACTGAAATAGCAAAGAACAATATAAACACAAGACTACCACATTTATCAAGACTTTTAAGCATCTTAACAAATAAACACCTTATTTAAATACATGTTAAAATCCTTCAAGAGATAATAAAAATCTTTAAATCTGCATTTTGTGGGATCCAGGTTCATTGTGAAGTGAGCAGGCACTAGCCAAAGTTCAAGTGATTTTTTTTTTTTTTTTACAGCAGAGTGTCATCTGTGCAGCCTCCTTCCAGGCCATAGCGGAACTCCTGCAGGTTTGAGATCCCATAAAAATGGACAAATGCCGCCGCGACAACCAGCACATGGAATATCTGATGAGACTGAAACTGAGAAAGTAAAACAGATAGAGACCGTGAGTATCCAACTGTTTTTGCAATGCAAAAGGAAGCTATTTTCAATCAACGCGAGACTTCCATTTCATTAGCCTCTATAGATAAATACCTAGGAAAATAAAGTGCAATAAATGATAAATTATAAAAAATTCAATCAATATCATCAGCATCAAGCAGCATAACAGACTGTTTTGTACTGCTAAAATAACTGTAAACAGATGATACCGAAAGCCTTGCACATTCAATTCAATAATGGATGCACCCGCTCTTATGTTAAAAAATGAGGTGGATACTTGTATGAACATTATGTTATTAGGTCGCTTTACAATATTACATGCAACAAAGATTCCCTTGAGTCTTACCCAGATGTCACATTTGCCAGGGAAGTACCGTTCAGGTATCCGTGCTGCATAAAGTGATGCTCCACTAATGTACATGGCACCCATCAGATAGAACCAGCCCATCTGACCCACTGTCGTTGCCTTCACAAAACCCTCTGCGATGGTAAAATGCATTGTGGGAATGAGTCCACTCAGACCAAGGCCCATGAAAACACCTAAGTACGAGGAAAAATGTTCTAAGCAACATCTGAAATCAATCAAGCAGATGGAACATATAGAGAAGCAGGTGAGCGCATTACCTGCACGTGTGGACCGGTGCCGAGGGGTGGCGAATCTGTCCCACTGGGCCACAATGATAGCAGCAACACCCAGCACACATACAACAGAGAGATAGATGAACCGCGGCTGAGGAGAGCAGTAAAACGAGTAGTACAGCCATGGAACGAATGAGCCCATGATTAACAACGCAATACCAGAGTAATCCAACCTAAGGACATAAAAAAAATACACTCAAGTTACTGAAGTCATGTCTATACATTGGCAGTCAAAACTTAAGAATAATTAACATTTTTTTTATGTTTTTGAAAGGAGTCTCTCATGCTCACAAAGGCTGCATTTATTTGATCAAAAATACTGTAAAAACAGTTATATTGTAAAATAATATTACAATTTAATATAACTGTTTTCTATTTTAATATATTTTGAAATGTAATTTATTTCTGTGATGGCAAAGTTGAATTTTCAGCATCATTACTCCAGTGTCACATGATCCTTCAGAAATCATTCTAATATGCTGATTTGAAGCTGAAGAAACATTTCTTAGAATTATCAGCGTTGAAAACAGTTGTGCTGCTTAATATTTTTGTGGAAACAGATACATTTTTTCAGGATTTTTGTAAAATAAAAATAAAATGTTTTTACTGTTACTTATGACAAATTTAGTGTGTAGCGTCTGGACCAATCAAAAACACAATTTTTCATTTGATTTAACAAATCAATTATTCATTAGATTAACAAACGTTCACAGACCCCTCACCCAATAAACATACTGGGTGCCAAGTTGTCTGTGAACAGGGCCCAGGACCCTGGTTACCATGGCAACCCTGACACCAGATACATTTACGACCTAATGGAATGCGAAGCAGGGAAAATCACTGCATGTTCCATCGCAAGAGGCACAAGGCACAGTAGAAATGGACTTTTCTACTAATTAATTCATAGGAAAACCTTTCTTTGAATGAACAGTGTATCCTTCAGGTCATGGTGTATGAAAATCTGACTTTTTCCATGTTTAAGTGCTATAATTGAGTGTCCGTTGCATCTACCAACTCAGAAAACGTGAAAAACAAGAACCCAGTAAGTTTGGTTTTGTAAGCCTTTCTCTGCAAGCATGTGAGGAAATGAGCCGATCAGATTTCTCTCATCCTTGCTGAAAAAAAGTATTAATTTACATTTTTAAATGTATTCAAATAGAAAACAGTTATTTTAATATTTCACAATATTTCTGTTTTTACTTTTTGATTAAAGGGCTCATCAGATGAAAATCTGACTTTTTCCATGTTTAAGTGCTATAATTGAGTGTCCGTTGCATCTACCAACTCAGAAAACGTGAAAAACAAGAACCCAGTAAGTTTGGTTTTGTAAGCCTTTCTCTGCAAGCATGTGAGGAAATGAGCCGATCAGATTTCTCTCCCCCTCCTGACATAGGAAGGGGTTCTTATTATAATATTACCGCCCATTAATCTGCACGTTTCCATCCACGGCGCTCAGCCACCATTGTTGTTTTCGCAAGCGACACCGGTGTACTTGTTCAGACGCCAAGGCAAAAGTTCGCAAAAAACATGCTAAATGTTCTGTCGTTGGCTACACAGACAAACACAAATGTGACCCTGGACCACAAAAACAAGCCTTAAAGGTCAATTTATTGAAATTTAGATTTATACATCATCTGGAGTCTGAATAAATAAGATTTCCATTGATGTATGGTTTGTTAGGATAGGACAATATTTGGCTGAGATACAACTATTTGAAAATCTGGAATATGAGAGTGCAAAAAAATCAAAATACTGAGAAAATCGCCTTTAAATTTGTCCAAATGAAGTTCTTAGCAATGCATATTGCTAATCAAAAATTAAGTTTTGATATATTTACGGTAGGAAATTTACAAAATATCTTCATGGAACATGATCTTTACTTAATATCCTAATGATTTTTGGCATAAAAGAAAAATCGATAATTTTGAACCATACAATGTTTTTTTGGTTATTGCTAAAAATATACCCAAGCGACTTAAGACTGGTTTTGTGATCCAGGGTCACAAATCATTATTTAGAGTCCCAGCCTCAGAGGAGACAAGAGAGTAGTGGATTTATTTTATTTTTAGCGGAAATCCCGGAAGGGGGGTGGAGTGCAGTAACTCATTATCATTTAAAGAGACATACACCAAAACGGGTTAGTGTGAGCAGAGCTGTTTTTGACAAGGCAAAAAGGGTGTTGTTTACACAGCCATTGAGTGTTTTTAAGCAAAATATGTTACAGACATTTCATAAAGACCCTAATAAATCATGCCAACTTGTGGAAAATGTTCATCCGATGAGCCCTTTAAATAAATGCGGTCTTAGGGAGCATATCATTTCAAAAACAAAAAAACTCTTGGCCACCAGTGTACAAAATGCCACTTAACATTAGTACTGCCTACACACAAAGAGCATAAAAACTGGTGTCTCTTACTTGGAGAATGTCCTAGAGACTTTTTCTGAGTGGCAGTAGACAGTGTGAAAAAGCCAGGAGAAGCTCAAACAAAGAACTGCACCCAGGAAGAACATCCCAAACACCACCTTCTCCTGCACGGGCGCCATGAATGAAACGTTTGGCCGCAGCATTGTCAATGTGCCCAAGCACAGGAACAGAATTAAGCCTGTAGGGAGACATTGTGATAGCTTAGTTAGCCTTCAAAATGACATACCAGTAACATAATTACAGGTTTGAGTAACATTAGAAGTCTAAGTGGTGTGTTTTGTGTCATCCTCAGGGCAGTGATTCACACATATCAGATTATCATATTACAAATATATCGTACAATTTATCTGGCAAGTACAATTTATCTGGTAAGTTCCAGTAGGTGTGAAACGTCTTTCTTCAAAAGCCACCGGGGTTATATGACATATACTACTGTTTAAAAGTGACAGTAAAGAATTTTGATGTTTCAAAATATTTATGTTTCAAATAAATTTGAACTTCCTCTTCATCAAAGAGTCCAGAAAAAAATGATCATGGTTTCCAAATAACATAAATTAGATCAGTTTTCCACATTGATAATAATAAGAAATGTTTCTTGAGCATCAAATCAGCATATGATCAGACTGATTTCTGAAGGATCATGTGACACTGGATCACAAGACTAGAGTAATGACTGCTGAAAAACCAACTTTCCCACAGAAATAAATTATATTTTCAAATATCTTAAAGTGGAAAATGACTATTTTACATTTTAATAATATTTCAAATTATTAATGTTTTTACTGTATTTTTGATCAAATAAATACAGCCTTGGCGAGCATAAGAGACTTATTTCAAAAGCATTTAAAAAATCTATTTGACTGCAAATCTTTGAACAGCAGGAAACTTAAAATTTGGGAAACAGGAAATGTTTTTTTTTTCTTTTTCTGGTAGTCGGTTTACATGTAGAAGCTACAGTGATGTGTAGTATTTTAAGAGATGCTTGTTTTGTTACATTTTACTTTTGTGCATTATCATGTCACATATCACAAGCACAAACCCAGCAGGTGCGTCCAGATGTTTCCAGTTTCTGTGTGAATCCTGAAGATGCTCCCAAAACAGGCACGGAAGGACGGCATGGGTGGGCGGTGTCCCTGCAGCAGGTAATCATTATCCTTTAGCCAATCGGGGAGGAGATGGTATGGAATAACTCGCCAACGTCCTTCCCATACCTAGTAACGGTACAAGTTTGCTTAAACAAACATCTCAGACTAGAAATAGGCCACATTTACATTACAATCATTTTACACAAGAACATTGTGATTAATTAAATACATGGTATTTTTGGAAATAATTACGTCATTAGGAGTTCTAGAACAGTTGAGGATAAGGACATTAGTCACCTTGTGTACAAACTCCTCCATCTTCTCCATTGCATGGTGTGCCTGCATGGGCAGTGTAACCACCCGCAAACCTTGTTCTTCATCCTCGTTCTCATCCTCATCAGGAAATGCTGATGCACCCTGCAACAGCAATAATGCTTTTAGTTAACGTTTAGCTTTTAGTTAAATTGAGTTATTCTTGCCTCACTCCATCTATTATATGTACATTCCCATTTAAAAGATTGGGGTCTCAGCGAGGCTGCATTTATTTGGTTAAAAATCAAATTTAAAAAAATCCACTTTTTTATTAAAATAATTGTGGTTTTTTTTAATGCATTTTAATATATTTTAAAATGTAACTTATTCCAGTGATGGCAAAGTTGATTTTACAAATTCTTTGATGAATAGAAAGGTCAAAAGAACAGAATTTATTTGAAACCGAAACATTTTGGAACTTTATAAATGTCTTTACTGTAACCTTTTAACAGTTTAATGTGCCTTTGCTGAATAAAATTATTAATTTCTCTAAATAAAAATCCTACTGACCCCAAACGGTAGTGTATTTTCTTTTCTCACAACTCACTCTTGATTTCTTTGCTTCAGCTGGATTTGTCAGCAGCGGCCCAAGCTCAGTGAGCTCCGCGTCCTCATCATCAGAGGTGCACCGCTCGGCATCACCGTTGGAGCCGCGGTCACCATGGTGACAAGTTGTCATGGGGAGACAAACCTAAAACTCCCCAGAGTTTCCACCTTGTCCCACAGTTCACAATCTGGGCCTGATGATGATACATAAAATTTAGAGATTAAAGGGATAGTTCACCCAAAAATTAAAATTCTTTACAGGTTTGGAACGACATGAGGGTGAGTAAATTATGACAGGATTTTCATTTTTGGGTGAACTATCCCTTTAACACCTGCTGTTAACAATGTTGGCCATGTAAAAAAGATAGATTTATCACAGACTTCATAATATTCCATTCTTGGCATATCTAACTGGTTGATTAATAATTACTTGATTCACTATAATTGTTGTCGTAAATTAAATATCCGATGTGCAAAAGCCCCTAAAAATCTATTCCAGGGGCCCCCTTCCACTAATTTCTGATACTGATTGAATGAATATAAACTAGATTTAAAAATATTTATTTGAACTTAAATAGCATTCGTGAAATCTGTTATAAAACGATCAGTTTGTTTATTTGCTCAGATCTGGTCTGGCTGGACTGGCTGATCCAGTTTTGCATAGCGTCAAAGGTTTACGTCCTGTTAACTTAGCATGCTTACAGGCTAACCAAACAAATATGCGATCAACCACTAAAAAACATTTACGAATCCTTACGTCGAGCAATGTTCTGCTAAACGCGTTTGTTTCCCGGCTGTCTGTCTTATTATACCGCGTGTAACATCGCTGTTATATGACAAAACTGAATCAGTTTAGCCAAACCGGACAACACTAGCCTGCATGCTAATGCACTTCCTTATGGTCTGATTTGAACATTAATTACAAAAACATATGGTTGCTTTCATCACAGTTCGTAGATTAATATTACAGAGTTACTAATATAAGAGATCAGTGTTCGTCCGTTAAACTACCTGGCTGGATGGGATGTCAGATCAGTTCATGGAAGCTCACCAGCAGCTGCTCGCCGTCTGGTCGCTATGCGTCTCTATGAAACCTGTAGAACCAGACGGTTCTTCTTTTTCTTCTTCTGGTGTTTTATGGCGGTTTGGCAAACCAGCGAAAAAGGTGCACCAGACGGTTCAGTTCAGTAGCAGCAAATTATAACACAAATTACTGAATTAACACAGATTAAAACAGTCTGACATACAGCGTGCTAAATATCAGGACGATATGAAGACAATGGAGGGACGTTCTGCCTCTGTCAGAGAAGGAAGAACACTTGCTACCGGAACCGGTTTGACCCACGGCTGTGTGGACATGCGGCTGATGTTGTGCAAACGGAAAAGCATTCAAATACTGCAATCTATATATGATCAGGCTCATCTTTTAGATGTGCACCTGAGATAAATAACACAAGCCACCATAGCAGAGATCAAGTGGGAGGGAATGACATTAAGAGAAATTGGATCCTCTGGTTGTCTTGGGCCATTTTAGAAACAACAACACCAACAAAACAATAGCAATGGTACAAAGCTTGGTGGCATTTGTGACATTTGCTATATGAACACACACGTATCGTGGACATGATTATATATAACTAAATGGTCTTTGTGATCTTTGACCACTATACGAAATGAATAGGAAATACGAAAATGCAGAGGATTTTTTGGGGGTACAATCTACTAATTTGCCACAATGAAGATGTCTGATACTGCCTTAATATATATACAAATGGAAAACCTAATAAAAGTAAGTAATTATATCGGAAAATACTCTCATGAGCATGATGGGATACGCTGTCCGGTTTATATATAGAGCTATACAGGCATCTAGTGGTTACACCATGGTACTGCATATAATTTTCTTGATTTCTCCCACCACATGGCACCAATATGCTTAAAAATGATATGAAACACTTGTGTGATGCATTATTTAGAGGTAGATATTGTCTAGTACATTCAGTATAGCACTACATTCATCTCAAAAAACGTTACGCTTAATGTCTTCGGTCTGTTTTCCGCATGAAATCAAAATGGACTTTATTTACTAGCGCACATTGCTAGTCTTGATGTAAACAATTAATCCGTGCAAGTTAATTTTTCAAATTAATCAAATTAATTTAATCAAAATCTGAACATTTACTTCTGCTCTGGAATGGCATTCCTTTTCTGATGACGTCAGTTTGACGGCTTGGGCAGAATCTCCTTAAACACACCCCTCCAACCAGTTAGATTGCTATGAGAGACAGAGAGGAGGAGCGCAAACATAAAACCATGCCCTCTATTCAATATTCCGTTTCAGCTGGAAATACGTCACTACACTGAAATAAAGTCGGCAGCAACTTCCGGCTCACGCGGACTTTAAAGTCCGAGTAAAGGCAATTCAGAGAATTGTTTCTTAACACATTATAAATGTTAGAAATGTATTGCTGAAAACATGTTACAAATTTTGATTTTGAGTGAGGAATACCAGGGTTATTCATTGAATAAATTGAATAAATTATTCAATTTTTTCAATTTGCACATAATATACCTGTACATACAACTGTCTATTGTTATATACCTGTACATACAATTGCCGATTTGTATATTTTTTATTCCTTATTTTACTTGTTCTATTTTTTATTTATTTTTATTTTTTATCTGTGTTTTTTTGTTCTGCCACTGTCATTCTGTTACACTGTGGAAGCTTCTGTCACGAAAACAAATTCCTCGTATGTGTAAACATACCTGGCAATAAAGCTCATTCTGATTCTGATTCTGATTAAGCCAAAATTCACAAAATCTCAAATATAATTTTGAAATGTAGATATTCAAAGTATCATATTTACTTAGTTAAATGCTGCATACAAAGAAAAACTATATGCTATTAATTGATTGCACTTTTAAAACTGCAATGTTTTGGTTGAAAATACGAGCCATTTCATTTCATGCACGTTTCTAAATCTCTTTACGGACATGCGTTATACGTAAATTCCTCGAACTACAAAAAACCACAAAGCCCAGAATAATGAAGAGGTAATGCGCCGTAGTATGATTGGCCGCAGGGATTGCCACGCCCCACAACGTTGCGTTGATTGGCCTTTGCCTGGCGTTCACGGCCACTCACGGAATTTCATTGGTCAATGTAAGGAAAGAGGGGCGTGATCACGACGGACAGCGGAGAGCTGTGCTGCGGGAGGAGCGGGCAGCGTGTTTCCGGTAAGAGCGACACAACAGTACCACTAGAAACGTTCTGTAAGAAAATTAAAGCAGACTTTAAAAGTCTATTTTTTTCACGTGATTCGACATCGACGTTATAACTAATTGTATCGTCAGGGAGTCGTCTATCGAGCGGCGCGGAACACACGCGGCAATGGAAGCCGAGTTTCGGGAAATCGATGAGCTCGGGAACTGGAACGCCGTTTACCAGGTGAAGGACTGATTCTTCTTCATAATTGATTAGGATGCTCAAAATATTCATAACGATCCAAAAGTTTATTTTAATTTTTTTTATGTGATGTTTATTTTTTGACAGCTCAGATTGCGCTGCTTCTTCCCTAGTCCACAGAATAAATGATATAACAAGTTACATAGCGATGACCTGAATTTGTCATTTGTAAACAGTGACCAATATAGAGATGAGGGGGATGAGTTCATCTTTTATGAGAGGGTGTCTATTATTAGTTGGTTTAACACTTTTATCTCCTAATCTGGCTCACTTGCAGTTTTTAATGACAGTGATGGATGAATGACATCATAAACTGGATGCTGGTGGTCCCCATAACTGTCTGCCATATGGTTAATTCCCCCAGCAAACCATTTGTCACATATTAGTTTTACTTACAGTAAGAAGCATTTTCATCTCATAGACTTGTGTTTTACCGTAGGAGATTAGGCAGCAGTCCAGTGACCTACCATGCAAGATCGCCAAACTTCCAGAAAACAGGAGTCTTAATCGCTACAGAGACGTCAGTCCGTGTAAGTGTGCCGCTTCCCCTGTTCGACACAGTCAGTGACACCTAACGGAAGGGGCCTGTTATCAGCGAGCTGTTAAAGTCATTTCACACTGAAGATGTCATGTCTTTTTTCTCTCTCCCTTTTTTAACTCTTCCGTCACAAAGACTTTAAAGAGCAACGCTGCTGTGGTTTCCTCTCTCTCTCTCTCTCGCTCTCTCTCTCTCTCTCAGAGTCTTTCTCTTTTTCCACAACAACCTGAAAAGGTCCTCAGCTCACAAAACACCACATTAAATGAATGACTGTGTATTTTATCTGTTTCAATTGAGCGTTTTCATCAGGGGAATGTTTTTCTCTCTTGTGGGGAACTGAGAACAGGACCTGAAAAAGAGTCGTTCCACCACTGAACTTGCAAAGCATCATGGGTGATGCGCCTCACAGCTTAATCGCTCTCTCTTTTCACAGTTGACCACAGCCGTATTCGTCTGCAGATCGGCAGTAATGACTACATCAATGCCAGTCTGATCTCAGTGGATGAAGCTCAGAGAAACTACATTCTAACTCAGGTAACATACTGACAGATTTGAATCGTCTGAATCTGATGTTTTATCTGCACCTGCAAACCATCTGACACATTTGAAGATGATACGGATAGAATAAAGGAACTAAACGTTCATTGGCATAGTAATAGGAACATATATCCTGGGGAAAATCTTTTGTCAAGTTTTTCTGAGATATTAAAGCCTGTTTACATCAACAAAATGTTTGGTGCAATTTTCACATGTGATCTGTCAGTTCAGAACAATGCATAAAAAATGGCAGAGGAGCTGAATGAAAATGTGAAATCACTCTCTGACAGTAGGTGGCGCTTTTAGAAAAGATCTAATCTTACTGGTTGGTTAGTTTTCTTTGCAGTGCAATAGACCAATTCAGAGTAGACGTCACAGTTACGTCACTTGCAGCTGCGCGCGTATAGTGGTTGCAGAAAAACACTGGGAACAAGTGGAGGTAAATGGGTAAAATCCATGGAATAAAAGAAACAAATATTTTTGTGCCTTTTGATGTCAAGATCGGAATGCAAATAATTTTTATAGAATACTGTCGTCAAAGATGCCATTTGAAGCTAAACGCAGACGTTTAAATGGACATACTATGGATGAAAACTGTTGCAAATGTTTGTGTTGGTCTGAACTCTGAACAGACACATTAGCAGCCGTTCATTCAAATTAAAACGTTTATCTTGCTGAATTTTCACAACTAATATTTGTCTTATCTAGCCATTTATTTTCATCCGATGTGACTTAGAGATTTCCAGCCTGGTAAACCTGGACAAAGGTAGACTTCCTGGATAGTGAAAGTTATTCGTTTCACTTGGGGCCATCACTAAAATTCAGTGAGCACACAACAAAAGTTTTAATTGTGTGGCCACTATTAAAATTTGGAACAAAACAAAATGAAACGCTCTTTATTATTTGTGTCGCATCAGCTCTCTCAGCCAATCAAAGTATATCAAACTAAATGCCGTTATAAAATAACAGATTTTTTTTAAGTTTGAAGGTGAAATGGTCATTTTAAATATATTAGTGCTAAATGATCTGGTAAAATACGAGTTAATATTTCTGGTTTGTTTCGGATGGGATTTCGGGGATACAAAAGACAAAAAGGTTAGGAAACACTGACTTATGCTAGATAGCTACACTAAAACAATGATATGTTAAGCAATTAATGGGGAAACTCCCTGTTTAGCGACCCCCCATCCTGGTTTTGACATTTATGTTGACGTTTGTCTTGCGCATCCATTAGGCTGCCAACACCCCAGCCGACATTACACACTGATATACTGTGGTGATGTTCCATTTGGACACTCGTGGCATCTGCCAGGGAGATTTTCCCTCTCCTGTGTCTGGAGAGAATGCTGGGAAATGTTGTGAAATCTTGAGTTGCGTCAGCATGACATGTTTCTTTATTGTACAGATGAATTAGCACACTGATGCTTAGAGACGGCAGCAGACTCGTCTCAACCTGCCGGCCTTGTTCAGTCAGAGCGCTGCCAGCTACAGCCACAAACACACAAAACACACACACATTCTCACCCGCACTGTCATGTACATGTACATGTACACGACTTTCCTAACGCCTGCTCGAATGTGTGATTTACTACGTAGACTATGAAAACATAAGGTCATCAAAGCACATGAGTTTCCACTCCGAGTAAACTTATAATACCAAGTTCATTTAATAGAATTTAATATTTATTTGACTATTTATTTGTATATATTGCAAATGTTTTAATAAAAAAAAAATCTCACTGATTTAAATTCAGGAATAACTGTTAACAAGAAGATTTTTATTTTATTTATTTCATTTTTTTTATGTTTATGTACACTAACATTCAAAAGTTAGGGCTCAGTTTTTTTTTTTTTTTTGGGGGGGGGGAACAGAAATGAATACTTTATTCAACAAGGATACATTAAATTGTTCAAAAGTTTACAGTAAAGGCCATTATAATGTTACAAAAGTTTTCTATTTCAAATAAATGTTCTTTTGAACATTGTATTCAAATAATCCTGAAAAAAATATCATGGTTTCCACGAAAATAAAGCAGCACAACTGTCTAAAACATTTCATAATAAGAAGAAATGTTTCTTGAGCATCATATCAGTATATTAAAAATGATTTCTGAAGGATCATGTGACACTGAAGACGGGAGTAATGATGCTAAAATAGAAGACAGTTATTTTAAATTTTAGTAATATTTCACAACACTTCTGTTTTTACTGTATTTTGATTAAATAAATGCAGCTTTAAGCATAAGAGACTCCTTTCAAAAACAATAAAAATCTAACGACCCCAAAGTTTTGAATGGTAGTGTATGGTGCTGCTTAAGCCAAGTTCACACTACATGACTTAAAACGTTGGCAGATCGCTGTGCTATTCAGACTACATGACTTGCTGTCTGTCTTGAAGTCGTTGTGGTGTTCACACTATGTGACACTACGTAAATGATCCGAACAGGGAGTCGTATGGCGCTTTTCCACTGCGTGGTACGACTCGGCTCAGTACGGCTCAGTACGGCACGGTTCGGCTCGGCACGGTTTGCGATTCCACTGCAGTTCAGTACCGCTCTAGAGTGGGCGGGATTATTCACATGTCGTTATAGTTGCGCTGCAAAAGCACCAATACACTACACGAGCTGACAACAACTCTGTCACCCAACGACTCTACGGCCCCCAAATCACGTTTTGTCATGAAAACATGCAAGAAGGTGAATGGGAATGACGCGAAACAACAAGTGAAACATGAGTTGTTCATTTGAAAATGGACGTCGGGAAGAAATTAGTGCTGCAAGCTGTTTGCGTGATGATCTGTTCTTAAAAATTTCACTCCATTTCTTGTGTCCAAACTTTTCTTAAAGCCGTGTTGCCGCTGCTGTTTTTCTTCCGCTGACCTCAACCCATGCCTTGCTCTCTCATTGGCTGTAGCTCGTCACGACACCTGACACCACGTGATGTCGAGTCGGCCGACCGGTCCAGATATTTAGCATGCTAGATATTTGTTTGGCGTCAGTGAGGCGTCTGCAAGCATCGTTGAGTAGTTCTCACACAAAGATTGCCAATATCGTCGATTTTCCCCCGATCACAGCCCGACCTGTCGGCGAGCTCGTTGAATTGCAAACCAGTCTTAAAGGCACAATATGTACGTTTTTTAATTAAAATATCCAAAAACTACTAGAACAGTTTTATATATTTTGCTGACTTGTGTACTTACATTATCCCAAATGTTTCGAAGATGCCCGAGTCCCATCAAATTGCTTCGGCTGTGGGGATGAAGACGACAGCTCCCATGATTCCACACTCAGTCACGGCGTCATCAAACTACGCCTTTGTTTCTTTGTTTGTTTTGAATACATGCCCTCTAGCAGCGAAAATTTCATATTGTGCCTTTAAAATGCTGTAGTGTGAACCTGGCTTAAGTAGATTTGTGCCGGTATTCGGTAATGCGATATATCACGGTAATGAATATGCACGATATTGTTATCATGGGCTCTTAATCGCAACATGAAAATTTGATACCGGCATATCCCTAGGCTTAAGTTATATAAACCCTGTTGCAGGACAAATTAATTTGATGCACGTGTTTAAAATGTATTATTAATATAATTTGCTCGTTTTGATGGTTGTGTGTTTGTTTAGGGTCCATTACCAAACACCTGCGGTCATTTCTGGGAGATGGTGTGGGAGCAGTGCTGCCGAGGGGTCGTGATGCTGAATCGTGTTATAGAGAAAGGCTCGGTGAGAGAAACACGCTCTGTACCTGTATTTGCAACATGGATCATACACAGACTCACTTTGAATACCTGCCTGAAATGCTTCTAGCATACACATGGGTTGTGTGTGTGTGAGGTTTGTGTTGTGTGGTTATAATGAAGAAGTGTGTGTGTGTATGTGCAGATAAAGTGTGCTCAGTATTGGCCTCAGCGAGAGGAGAGGGAGGGTGTTTTTGAAGACACAAATTTCAGACTTACTCTGATCTCAGAGGATGTGAAATCGTACTATACAGTACGACAGCTGGAGCTGGAAAATCTGTCGGTGAGACACTTGATCTTCCTCTCATCTCATCCGGTCGTGCTTTCACTCATTTGTCAATCTCTTTCTCTGATCATTCTGCTGTTTGCAACACTGAGATTTTATATAGTCCTTCTTCAGTCACTCGTCTTTCATTTTGCTAAAATTCTTGTTTTTCAATGAAAAATGTTGCAAACAAGTTGTGTTCAGAGCTTCTACAGCTGGACTGGTCGTTGACTTCACTCAATAGTCTCAGGATATTACAGATGCAAGAGACTTATTTCTAACAAACACTCACTCAAGGTGATTAATGCTGTGCGTATGTGTTTAAAGACACAGGAAACCCGGGAGATTCTTCAATTCCACTACACCACATGGCCAGATTTTGGTGTGCCAGAGTCGCCTGCATCTTTTCTCAACTTCCTGTTCAAAGTGCGTGAGTCGGGCTGTCTGAGTCCAGAGCACGGCCCTGTTGTGGTCCACTGCAGCGCTGGTATTGGCCGCTCTGGAACGTTCTGCCTTGTAGACACCTGCCTTCTACTGGTGAGAGGACTGACCGCTTGTATGTGATGCCAGATCTGCCAGACAAAAGTGCTTGTTAATATTTAATCTTTTTAAATAAAGGAGCTTGTTCTATAGCATATTAGTCTATATTATTCAATTTCAAGAATCATGGCATTGATTTTTTTGTATCAGATCAAGGACTACTAGGCTGTTAAACAGTTTTTTTCCCCCTTACAGCTGTCAGACTGCTTAATCTGAGAATGTGAACTGCTCTTAAGAGACTGCACTGTTTTAAAAAATTCTATTTTAGTTTATTTATTAGTATTCTTATTTATTAGCTATTTATTTTATACTTTTGTCCTGAATTACTGGGATGTGGACATGTGAAACGTAATATCGTTTTTATGTGAACCATAAAAATGACAAAAGGAATCTAATCTAATTAATGCATTTAGCAGATAAAATATTATGCTTATTGGTACCACAGCACTCCTTTATTTCAGAAATAATAATATACTCTACTGTTCAAAATATTGGGGTCTGTAAGATAGTTTTCTTTAAAAAATAAATTAATACTTTTATTCATCAAAGATTCATTAATTTGATCAAAAGTTACACATTTATGTTACAAAAAAATTATCAAATGAATGCTGTTCTTTTGAACTTTGTATCCTAAAAAGTATCACGATATCCACTAAAAATTTAAGAAGCACTACTGTTTCCAACATTAATGGTAATAAGAAATGTGTTTTGAGCAGCAAATCATCATATTAGAATGATTTCTGAAGGATCACGTGACACTAAAGACTGGAGTAACGGCTGCTGAAAATTCAGCTTTGCATCCCAGGAATGCAAAACCCCAAATGTCTGAATGGTGATATAAATAAATAATTAATAAATGTTATAAACATATCAATACATTAATGAGATGCAGCTAAGCCTGTCACGATAACAACTTTTTGTTGTGCGATATATTGCCCTTGTGACATGCCTAGATGCAGCAATATATTCATCAGATTCATCTGTATCAAAGCATTAGTACTTTTGGCATCCCTAGTCCAGAAACCCGCTGGATGTCTGGATTTCTCATGTGTACTTCACTTGACAGTCACTTTGATCAGCACCGGCAGATTTGGTGTTGCTTTTGTTTAGAACTCCTTAAAAAGATTCCATCCCACCCCTCTTATATCCTCTAAACAGCTGTCATGTGTTCTCAGATGTCTCAGAGGAAAGATCCATCATCAGTACGCATACAGGAGGTTTTGCTGGAAATGCGACGATACCGCATGGGTCTGATCCAGACAGCTGACCAGCTGCGTTTCTCTTACCTCGCCGTCATAGAGGGTGCCAAGTACATAATGGGAGACACGTCTGTACAGGTAATGAAAGTGATGCTAAAGAATCTAACGTACCAACCAGTTTTTGGATGCTTTGCTGAGGATGTTATAGGATGTAGAGCTGAGCGGAATAATGTTTTTGAAAAGCCTCTTAAAAATGCTCACCAAGGCTGCATTTATTTGATCAAAATACAGTAAAACAGTAATATTATGAAATATATTTACAATTTAAAATAACCGCTTTCTATATTAATATTTTTAAGATGGAGCTGCACAGGAGGTGAGCTCCTCTTATACATGCTGAAAACACAAATCTGCTGTACATGATAGAAAACCTGTTTGTATTTGTGTGTCTTGGAGAAAAGGGAGATCACAAGTAATCTGGGATGTCTGATACCATCAAGTGCTCTGTGTAAGGCTACTGTCACAGCAGAAAACATCCCAAAAGCTTCTTTTTTTTTTTTTTTTTCCAGCCTCAGCTTTTGTTTATACCCCAAAAGAGCTGAGCGGAATAATGTTTTTGAAAAGCCTCTTAAAAATGCTCACCAAGGCTGCATTTATTTGATCAAAATACAGTAAAACAGTAATATTATGAAATATATTTACAATTTAAAATAACCGCTTTCTATATTAATAAATTTTAAAATGAAATGTACTCCTGTGATTTCAAAGCTGTCATATCAAATATTTCTACCATGATAAATACTCATTTTTTTTGTTAATTCCACCCACCTCAATCAGTGAAATGTTTGTGTTCATGTGTGAGTAGGAGTCATGGAAGGAGTTATCAAATGAGGAGGATCTCCCCCCTGAATTCACTCCTCCTCCCAGACCACGGCCCCGAATAGACCCCACAAATGGCAAAGGCGACCTGGTGAACCCTGACACCACACACTTCTTCAGTGAGATAATAAAAAACAGTGCAGAAATCTGTGCAAACAGGTCAGCCTCTCAATCTCTCTCTCTTTCTAGTAGTGCCCATTCAGCAGCCACATACAAACATTTTTTTTGTTGTTGTGTTTTTACAGTGCGCCCCAGACATTCACAGACGGGCCAGAGCTTCGCAAACGGGCAGTCGCAGCCGGTGAGGTCAGAGCAAAGGAGTTGTTAAGTGAACCTGATGACCCAATTGTAGCAAGAGAAGCCCCTCCCAAACCTGCACGGTCTCCGCCCAAGACTCCCACGGAAGAAGCGACTCCTGTTGCGGCCAATGGAGCGTGGAGCCCCCTGCTGACCAGTGTGTTTATGTGCACGGTACTGGCTGTAGGTGCTTATGCCTGTTACCGCACCTATTTCCACTGATGCCCTCTTTTTCTCATCCGTCTCTTTCTCTATCCCTCCATGTGCTGGCTATTGGTGGGAAAAGAAAAAGAGAGGCACACACAGACACTCACACTTTCTCAGCTGGACCCGTCTCTTTCTCTCCGAATGTCTTTGGGAAAGTGTTTCAAAGACTTTTCTTAGCCAAACTGCTGTCGTCTCCCTCTATACACACACTCTTACACACAATCTAATAAACGTGTGTCCGTTTAAAACCTCAGGGCCTCACAATTCAGGTGTTGCTACCCAAACGTTAAACATAGGTAACAGAAAATCCAAAAGACTCTGTTATTGCTGCAGTAAGTAAGGGAACTTTTCGTGTGTGTGTGTGTGTATGTATCTCAATCATTTTTTTT